CACCAGTACCCACCCGCCGCCGCATACCACGCGCACGGCGTGTCTCCCCGGGTGAGCCGCATCACGCCCCCTCCGGCGCCGCGGGTGACGACGCAGTGGTACTACCCTTCGCCCATGCCCTCGCCCGTACGCCGCTCTGGTATGTCTATGGGAGAGGGAGGAGGGTGCACTGCATGCAACACAACACATCCATGTGTGTGGTAGCCACCCACTCATGTGTGAACGAACGGCATCTCTCTCTTATCGCTCGGTGGTGTGGTGTCGTGTGCAGGGGGCAACAAGAAGAGCTGCGGGGTGGGGTTCTGGGGCTGGTGGAAGTAGACAAGTGGTAGGCTCAAACAGCCACACACGTGTTGAGACGCTGTGCTTTGATGTGTCTTTGTGTGGTGTGTGTGGCAATCGTCAGATCTCGGGTATGCCAACCACTTCAACTGAGGGATTGAGACGGCCGATGATTGAGAGGCAGGGCCGTGGGTGGAGGGGTGAGTGCGTGTAAGAGTTTCTTTTGAACGGAGGAGCCGCCAAAATTGACCACTTGATTTGAGAAGAGATGGACGGATAAGTGAATGAATGGCCCCATGACACTTTCTGAGTTGACCGGACCGCAGTTTCACGTTTTTCCGTGTGTGTGTGTGGTGTGCAATTGGCCGGCCTGGCTGTCAGTCTGTCTGCCTCAATATGCGTGTGGGCGGCGCTGTGTGTGCTTGGGGGGAGGGCTGCTGAGAGAGACAAGGACAAAAGAAGAGCATGAAACGGTCAGGGACGGTCGTTTGTTGTCTGCCACTCATCGCACCTCACCACGTCACACCTCCCATCGCTCATCTCACGTGAGTGAGTGAATGAGGGAGTGATGTGGCAGTTTTTTGCCTTTTCGCTATTTTTCGTTTTTTCGCTTTTTCGCTGGCCGCTCTTAATCTGAGTGCATTGCTATGCTACAGAATGAGACTCACTGGCACAACCAGAGAAGAGAGACCAATAATATCGATTCAATCAACCAAGTCAACAAAACAATCGAAACCAGTACTGACAAGCACATTCGTTGGTCACCGCAGTCCGGCCCCTGAACGGGCGGTTTCACAGATGTGAACGATACATCCGGCACACAGTCCACTCACTTCAGTCACCCTCCAAAAGTGGTGATAACAGTGTCGTTGAATGCCACCGGACACTCGTTGTACTCGCCGGGCATTGCCGCCTCCCTCAGGGTCACACGCGACACCACCTCATCCACCACCCTCTCAGCATCTTCGTCACTCAACGCAGGGCACCTCACGCAACCGCCCCTTTGTGGGCCGCTCTGCCGGCTGCCCTCCTTTGGGCTCATCGAGTGCTCGGGCGACTCACACAGCGCCGCGAACTGATTGCGGGAGCGGCGCAACAATGTGGCTGGCTGCTCTGCTGGCCGAGGGATGGCATTGTTCCTGCTGTCGCGGTAGCGTGTGAGTGCGTTGCCCAGCAGCACAATGGGCAGGAGGGCTCGCTGGATGGCCGATGTGGTGTAGGGCAGTGAAGGCGAGCAGGCGGCATCCGTCTCGCCATCGAGCTGCAGATAGAGCCAGTAGAAGAGCACCCGGCCGTAGAGAAACTTCTCGCAATGCGGCATGAACAGCAGCACCACAGAAGAACTGTGCCGCCAAGTAGAGTGGATGTCCGCCAGCCGCTCGAACAGCCTGTCTGCTTGACGACTGGTGACGAAGCCGAGCTCCTTTGCCGTCTGCTCGTCCTTGTCGGTCATGATGGGGTCCGCAAGCCAGCAGTGCTGTCGTGAAGCCTTGAGGTGCTTCATGACCAGCTGCAGCATCCCCAGCTGCACGGCAGAGGCGCGTGAGTGCTCGAAGCTGCCCAGACCAAGGGCGAGGCACATCAGCTGACGCGCCGAGGTCCTGTCCCTCGACGAAGTCGCCTCGGTGAGGAGATCTCTGACGGCTGACCAGTAGTGGGAGAGCTCCAGTCGCTGCGTGACGAGATGGACGAACACATGGGACCTCCTGGACGGTGGTGAGGAGGGATCACATGGCTGCGACGCTTCCTTGGTGGCGGTGAGAGGCGTCCGCCGTGTCCGCCTCTTGACGACGGTCGTCCACTGTTCGCCTCCATCCCCGCCTTGCTGTCCTCTGTGCGGTGGAGAGGCGGGCCCTTCAGACGGCGTTGGTGTCATCCTCCAGCCACAGCTGCTGTTTTCCTTTCCCAATGCGTCGAGAATTTGGGCTCGAAGAAAGAGACGACAGACTTTTCGATTTTTCGATTTTTTCTTCAGTGTTTTCCACAAGCGCTGATGTTTCGTGGCCGTCAGCCCCAACCATTACCCGCTCGGGCGCACGCCGTCGCAGCCCGAGGGGACCGCAACATCACCAGCAACAGCAGTGCGTCGCGGCCGCGGCCGCGGCACACCCAGCGAGCCGCATCACTCGCCCCGTTCAGGTACCATGGGAGAGGGAGGAGGGTGCACTGCACGCAACACATCCATGTGTGTGGTAGCCACCCACTCATGTGTGAACGAACGGCACCTCTCTGCACTCGCTCGGCGGTGTACATCTTGAGGCTTGGCGTGCAGGGGAGCAAGGACAAGGTGGTAGGCTCAAACAGCCATGCACATGGCCACACAGCCAAACCGTGGCATTCATCCGTGGAATGCTGGGCTGCTGTTGTTGTGTGTGTCAGTTGCAAAGACGGGGGGCGTATCTTTTCATCGTAGCCCCATTGCAAAGACTTAGGCCAAACTTGCAGCGACGAGCCAGGCACATGTGGAGGGAAAGGCCATGTGTGTGTCTGTTGGATTGTGTGCAGTCGGGACTGACCCGGACGAGGACGAATACATTGACATCGCAGATGCCCTCCGTCTCTACAATCTGCGCAAGATCTCAGAGAAATACAGCGGGCCGCTCTCAGCGGCTGATCTGGCTGCCATCAGAAGTCACATGGCCAGAGGCGTCCGCGCCCTCTGTCTCTTTGTCCAGGCTCACATGACGATATCCCAGGAAAGAAGTACTCGTCTGTCAGAGCTCTCCATTTGAGCAGGACGTCATTGCTGAGGTTGTCCAGCGCATAGAGGATGGCGCAGGCAGCACTCAACGAGAACCCATCTCAACGACCACATCTGAAGACATTTTGACGGTTCTTCTCGCGGTCTCAACCCCTTCACCCGCGCAGCTGCCAGCCTTAGGGAGATGTCCGCCGCCAATGCTCTCAAGGCAGAGGAGACTCCAGAAGAGTGCCGAGAATCTCTCGGGCCATATGCAGCCAAAATGCCGACAAACGCCCGCGACCAGAAGGAGCAGCTACTTGAGGTAGGGGATAAAAGGAGCACCACTGGCCCGGCGGACGGTGGCGATGGCGATGAAGGTACACTCAACTCAGACAAATGCAACACATCACATACACAGCAGACGATGTAGCCTGGAGGAACGGCATGACGGCATCGCACAACCAGACGGACCAGACCGCCATGGCATTGGCAGCGGTGGGTGACCATCATACCACACCCATGAGCAGCACACGCCGACACACGCCGTCGCTTTGTGCATGGGTGCAGGTGGAGGTGTTGGTCGGGGATTTCTTGGGCAGCAGCACAGCGGGCCGAACCGGAGCCGACAGAATGGAGGTAGACGCCGACTGACCCACCGACACACAAATCAGAATCGCCACTCACGCATCGTTGGTCATCTTGTGCGTCTGTCTGTCCGCTTTGTCAACCACAGGTCCGCCGGTACCCCGTGGCTGGAAGAGCCACAAGAACGGCGTCGAGGTCCGCGTCCCTCCTGGCACCAGTGACGCCAGCAGTCAGCTGATCTTGGCCATTCTTCGCCGCACCATCACTCACCCACAGCATATGACGCAGCTGATCCAGCAAGCCGACCCCAATGCGCAGCCTCGCCTGCACGTGGAGGGCACCACCACGACCCCCACGACCCGCTTCAAACACTATCCGCTGCTGTCGCTGTCCATTGACAACCTCAGTGACAACAGCGTGCCAACCATCTGGGCAGCCAAAGGCGATAACGCTTCGGCCCCCGTCGCCATCCCGAAGTGGCAGACGCCCGGTCTCCAGCTCGCTATCATGCGAATCCTAATCGAGAGAGGGGCCGACATCAATGCGGGTCTTGGTTCTCCCATCCGGGTGGCCATCGCCTCGTGCAAGCGGACCGCATTCGACCTCCTGATGAGCCAGCTAGGTACGCGCCCATTCACAGCACTCACGACATGGAACACACACGATGATGGATGTTGGGACGTCTGTCTGTCTGTCTGCCTGTCTGTTCAAGGCATCCAGCTGCGGGGGCGTCAGGTGCTGGACTTGCCGGAAACGTTGCCGACGGACCAGCCGACTGAGGCCCACGAAGCCATCCTGCTGTCCTTCTACCAACAACTCATCCAGCGGGACAGCACACTCGCAACCGAGCGGAGAGCGGACGGCAACAATTATTTGCATGTGGCGGCCGCCGACCGTACACTGCCTTTCGTTTGTTCTCAGCAGTTCATCGAGAATTACATCGGCCTGCTGGTGGCCAACGGGGCGGACATCGCGGGCGTGGACAACGACCTGCGCGTGACGCCATTGCATCACGCGGCACTCCGCGGCTCCCACCGTTTGGCTGCGTCTCTCTGCCGCCGTCTCGCCGCTGCTGACGTCAACAGAGGGCCGCCGAATGACCCCAGCTTCACACCCCTCACCATTTCGGCCCGATGCCTCTATGGCGTCACACAGACGCTGCAAGACAACAACACGGGGCAGGCCGTGAGGGATCGGGCCAATATCCGGATCCCCCAGTGGAAGGCCACCATCCGCACACTCCTCCGGGCGGGCGCTGACATTGCCCTCATGCCCATGGCCACCGAGGGGCAGCGACAGCAGCGGCAATGGGTACTGGCCGAGTGCACGACGGTGCTCAACGAGCTGGGCGATGCCGTCATGGCTGCCATCAATGACGCCCTCGCCCCTCAGCGGTCGCTTGCGGCCTTGCTCGCCCACTGTCATACTGGGTGATTTGTTTCTGAACAGTCGCCGTCCTCACTCGACAAGCGTCGTCATAAGTGTCGGCACGGCCCTTCTTCCCCCTCTCCCTCCGTTTGTTTGCTGCCCTCAGCTGCTGTCTTCCGGGTGGAGTGATCCCGGCCTCCTACGCTAAATCGTACCGCGGAGGTATCCACGCCCGCGCCACCACCACCAACAACAGCCTCCGGTTCAAAGCCGTGTCGGCCACTGCCCGTCCCGCCATGCACACACAGCCGCTACAGGTACCTAACTAACTGCTAAAGTTAGTTGAGTGAGATGCATCCAGGACTTGATGGCTTCATCCATCTCCATCAACCTGTTCGTTCTCTGCTCTGTCAGCTGTCGGGCTCCCCTGGGGCGGCCTTCATCCCACCGTCGCATCACATCGCACAAGGACGAGAGCAGCCAGCTGGGGAGCCCTCTACCAAGATGCGTGCCCTGCTAGGCACCCCCGACCCCCAGGTCGTTAAAGTTGCCGGTGGGGCAGGAATGGTGAACACGACCCGCCCCAAGGCGCGCGGACCCGCTCCGCCCGCAGCGAACTGCGCACAGCCACAGCCATTCGGTAAGAAGACGACGAATCGCGACCTTCACTTTTTTGGAAAGCACTCCGTTGTGCATTGTCTCGATTACAGGTGCCGGTGTCGGTGTTAAAGGTGCTGGTGCTGGTGCTGGTGCTGGTGTTGGTGGCGGCGTGTTGTGGTTCGCCCGCGTGTGCGTTTTGTTTCTCCATTCTCTCCATTTTCCAACCCACAGCCAGCAGCAGCATCACATATTTTCCGCTCGAGGGCTGGCGGCCGCTGACCCCCGCTCTTAATTTTTCGTCCGTTTCGTCTTTTGCCAAGAACGCCATCATCTGCCACTTCAAGGACACTCACGAGATTCACACCTGCACCACTGAGTCCTCCATCGACAAGTGAGACGGGACATGACTCTGTGTGGGCATTGTCACGACACACGAGTGTATCTATGTTATGTGTGTGTCCTTTACTGTTCAGGCATGCCGACAACGGCCGGCTGGGCACCATTATGACACAGTCCCCCGACATGCCAGTGGGGGGATGCACCACAACGATGTCAAGCTGCGCATCTGGCGTTAGATCTTATTATCGTCTTATCGTGTTGACCAACGCCAGCCATCCGTTCGTCGCATGGATCAGCTTCACTCTTTACTGGAACGGTCAGCCCAGCACGAACGGGGAGAGGAGGGCCGGCACACCTATACACACAAACACGCAGCACTCATTCTCGCCGGCTGTCTGTGCTGTCCTGTGATTCCTTCGCAGTGGGTGTGGTTATCGAGACAAGCGAGCCGGCTGTGTGTGGCGTGGGTCGCGCCTTCAAGGACCGCTTCCCGCAGACCACTCGGCTTGCGCGAGTGGTGCTGGGGGCCGTCATCTCAGCTATGGTCTTCGACCGATAGAAGATGACTGAGGTGACGGCTGACACAAGCAGGAGATGAGGTGAGGTCCATGTGGATCCGATTCGGTAGGCTCAAACAACCACACAGACACACACGCGTTGAGACGTTGGGCATTTGTGTGTCTGTGTGCTGTGTGGTCTGCGTGTGTCGAGCGTCAGATCCCCGTTGAGCTCATGTGTGCAAGTAAGGTGGATACCAATCGTTGCCTTCATTTTATATTTGACGGCTGTTGTGCAACTAACTTCTGTGTCTCCATTTCACTGCCTGGGGGATGGGACACTCGTGTGGTTCCGGTGCGTGTGGATGCATTTGTTGTTTCAATCGTGTGCTTTGACCGACGGACGGACAAGCCGCAATGATGATTGTAAAACGCATTCATGTCTCTCTTTCTCAGCTCGCGCATAGCTGAACACGCGCTAGACGGAAAAACCACTGTTCCATCATCCATCCATCCGCCTTTCCATTGGAGCAGTCGGCCACGTGTAAGTGTCGAGAGAAACAAGGGCAGACAGGCACATGATTTGAGAGCTCGCAGCACACCGATACCAACCAACACTGTCTGCCGACCCGTACACACATTTACCCATCCGTCACAACACTCACAGAATGAGGCAGGGAGAAGGTAGCAATGACGGACACACAGGCGCAAAAATGCATGCCTTGCTTCTAGATGGTGTGGTGGGAGGGGAGGGTGTGTGCAGCAAGCCAGTAGGGTAGCCCAGCTAGTGGAGCCCTCTCGCCGTCATGACCTCCAGCATCTTCTTGCCCATCTCTGCCGGCGATCGAACCACCTCCACACCTGCAGACAGACAGACAGACAGACAGATAGACAGACAGACAGACATGTACAATGAGACATGACCGGTCCGCCGCCGTGTCCGCGTGTCTTCCCTGACCTGCTTCCTCGAGTGCCTTGATTTTGTCCTCGGCGCCGCCCTTGCCTCCGGAGATGATGGCGCCGGCATGACCTGATGGATGGATGAATGGTGCCAAAGTGGTCGGGTTCTCTGGTGCTCTCCGTCTGTGCGGCCGTGTTTACCCATTCTGCGTCCAGGTGGGGCGGTGAGGCCGGCAATGAAGCTGACCACAGGCTTGTTCTCCTTGTTGTGGTCTGCAGACGGGAGACAGGGAAAGGAGAGAGATTCCCATCGGTTTGTTGATCGTGTGTCGGCCACGGCATGTACCCTTGAGCCATGCAGCGGCATCCTCCTCAGCGCTGCCGCCGATCTCGCCAATCATTATGATGCCTGGGCAAACAAATGCATGTACATGCAGCCGTCCACACACACACACACTCCCTGCCTCTGTGAGGTGTGTGTCAGTACCTTTGGTCTGCGGGTCTTCGACGAATTTTTCGAGGCAGTCGATGAAGTTGGTCCCGTTGAAAGGATCGCCCCCTATGCCTGCACGACAGAGGCACCAACACAACAAGAGGCAACGTCGATTTTGGCCTCTCTCCTCTCTCCCTCTCTCCCTCCCTCCGTTCTTGTGTGCCCTCCGTGCGTGTGTGTTGCTTCATACCGACGCATGTTGACTGTCCCAGCTTGACAGTGGACGTCTGATTGACCGCCTCGTAAGTCAGTGTGCCGCTGCGGCTCACCACACCTAACCACAAACACATAGATATACCTAACACACATACACGCAGGCAGGCAGGCAGGCATGGCGAGCCCGGCGCTCACGGACCGATGCATCCTGGATTGTGGATGTATCCCGGCATGATGCCGATTTTGCATTCTCCCGGCTTGATGATGCCCGGGCAGTTGGGTCCGATGAGTCGGGTCTTGCTCTGCTTCATGAGAGCGTTCTTGACCTTGACCATGTCTTGCTGCGGGATGCCCTCGGTGATGCACACCACCAACCCTAGCTCGGCCTCCATCGCCTCCAATATCGCCTTGGCCGCGAAACTCGGCGGCACGTAAATGACCGACGCGTCACAGCCCGTCTTCTCCTTAGCCTGTGGTGGACGAGTGGGCAAAGAAAACACACACGCAACAATACTCATCTCATCCACGTGACATGACATCTGTGTGTGGCTGTGTGCTGTGTGGCTGACCTCCTTGACTGATGCGAAGACAGGTAGCGAGTACTTGTTGTCGTGTGAGTGCCATGTGGTGCCGGCCTTGGAGGGGTTGACGCCACCCACCATCTGCGTGCCGTACTCGAGCGCCTGCTCCGTGTGAAACGTCCCCTACCAATCATTCCCACAAGACACACACAAGTACACACAACTGATCACTGCCCGCGTGTGTGTGTGTCTGTGTGTGTGAGTGTGTGTACCTGTTTGCCTGTGAGTCCCTGGCAAATGACCTTTGTGTTCTTATCGACAAACACTCTGGCGGTGGAGGAGAAGCGACTGCCCTGAAATACACGCCAAGGCCGAGCAAGCAATGAAAGGGTGATGGTGCTTTTCTCTTCGGGCATACCGCCCGCAGGAGTGGCGTCACCGAGGCCATAGACGGCAGTGCTGAGACCGCAGAGGCCGCCTTGGCGGCAATTTCACGTCTTGCAAACATCTGCTTGCGAATACGCAGGAAGCGCAAGGGGACCTCTCCTATGTTTGTCTGATTCCCTTACCCCTTCTTCCTCTGCGAGCTAAGCCAATGGTCTGCGTCGCGTTGCAACCTGTGCAAGAAGGATGGCAACAAAGGACGGATTGTACTTCTCTCGGGTTGTCCTCTTCTTCTCCCATCTTGATTATTGATTCGTACTGATGGCGTGCTCTGTGCTGCCCGTGGAGCTGTGGCGCGTGAGCGTGGCTGCATACCTCGCCGTCCCTGACGTGGCCTCTCTGCGCAGTACCTCTATTGCAGCCGGCACATCTATCATCACCGCTGATCTATTGCTGGAGCGAATCGATGCCCTCCTCTCGCGTCACTCGCTGCGTGGCGTCATCGATGTGGACCGCAGCCTTGCGTCACCGGCTGGTGGTGGTGGTTGTGCCGTCGGGCTGGTCGCCCTCATTCGCCGGACCATTGGAGTTACACGCCAGCAATGTGGGAGTCCGAGCTGCTTCAGCTATTTCCTTGCGTGCGCTCACATGCTGGAGCAGGGTGACAACGGGTGGAGGAACATTGGGGCCTTGATTCGGTTGGCCGTCATTGGTCGGCTGATGGATCAGAGTGGGCAGCCAGTGGTTCTGTCAGCGCGATGGGTGGCGGCTCACGTCCGCACGAAGGCCTCGCGTCGGCCGCCTCTCATGATTGCCGTCTACTGGTCTTTGATTGGGCACCGACTGAAACTGAGACGGGGCAGCCTGGCGCTGAAACGAATGTGGAACGGAGGGTGTGAGATACGGCCGTATCGGGCCTTTCGTGTGGTGCCTTTGGCTAATTTGCCGCCTGGTGATCCCTATGCCGCCTTGGGCCACAACCAGCACGATCCCGTCGTCGGAGAAACGAATTATTTAAAACGTCTTTTCCCTTGCTTCTCGGCGTTTGTGCTCGACAGCTTGGCCACGTGGTGGTGTGCACCAGAAGTCGTTCTCGAACGACGCGGCACCCGCCTCAGTCGCTGTCGCTCTCTGATGCATGCTGAGATCAATGACGACGACGCCATCGCAGTGGACTGTTGTAGGTCCAATCGTGAGATTCGCCCCCTCCGCTGGGTCTTTCTAAGTGGGTTTCGGCCTGACGACACCATTGCCGTCTTTATGTCGGTGCGTTATGGGGCTATCAAGCTCCTCACGACTGAGCCACGCGCCGCCGATGCATCGTGTCCGCTCGACCTTTGGTTCCCCATGTCGATGCGGCTCTTCCGTTGTGTGCTTAGGCGATTCGGTCTGGAGAAGGAGGTCATTGAGGGGGCGTCGTGACTGTGTAATAGTGGTGGCCATGGTGGACACAGTCATTCGAGTATTGCCTGGTGTGTGTGAGTAATCTGGGTGAAGGAGTTTGTACTAAATAAGGGGACATTGAGTGTGGTGTCTTGGATCGCAGTGCGATACCTGATTGAGTAATAAGCTGCGCGTTGTGTGAATGCAAGAGGCAGACATGATTGTCGTTGTGCACACTGGCTGTTCGTGTGAATCAACGGTCGTTTGCCTATATGTTTTCTGTTCATTTGTATTTCGATCGGCCGATCGTTTGCTTATACGCATATACTATTTGTTTCGCGACGCCGCACTTCACCTGCAAGGCTCAGCCGGCTGTCTGTGGAGCTGTGAAGGCGTCACACAGGGCGATTCGATGGCGATGTTCGTCTACGCCTGCGGCAGCCTTCCCCTCATCCATGCCCTGCGGGCTGCCTGCGCTGAGGAGGGATATGAGATGCCGTCGAGTGGGGCATGGGATGAGTCAGGCAGCGATGGGTCTGGGTCAGACATGGACGAGAACGAAAACGCGCCATCAGAAGCGCAAGAGAGGCCAGAAGAAGCCAGTGACACGCCACCAGAAGCAGAGGGGGATGGTGCGGGTGTATGTGTGTGTTCTGATGTAGAAGGTGTTGGAGTTGGTGAGGAGGAGAGTTTGTCGGCCTCGTCAGCCCCGTCGGCCTCTTCATCTAGCGCTTCGCTGCGGCAGTGCTGGTATGCGGATGACTCGTCGGCGCTCGGCAAACTTCACGGCATCCTCGTGTGGTTTCGAGCCCTGCGTCGCATCGGTCCCTCATACGGCTATCACCCAGAGACCGCCAAGTCCTTCCTCGTCGTCAAACCCGAGCTCGAGCAGATCGCAAGGGAACTCTTCGAGCCCGAGGGGGTGCAGATCGTCACGGGCAAGAGGTTCCTGGGCGGCTACGTGGGCGATGAGGGGGGAAGGGCGGCGTTCCTCTGCGAGAAGGTCGAGGGGTGGGTGCGCGGCGTGCGCGCGCTCACGTCTGCTGCCCGCAACTTCCCACACACGGCCCACGCGGCAATGACGAGGTCTCTGCAGATGGAGTGGGACTACGTCTTTCGTGTCGTGCTCACCGACGAGTGCGCTCTCAGCCCCCTCCGCGAGGCCATCGCCAAGGAGCTGCTGCCGGCCCTCCTCGGCGGCCCTGTGACGCCGTCCGAGGTCGACCTGATGCTGCTGCCTGCCCGGCATGGCGGCACCGGCATACGTGACCCTCTCGACCGTGCCGCAGCCGCCTACCCCGCTTCCCGCGCGAGCACCAAGGTGGTCTCCAAGTCCGTCCAAGGCAAGGCTCCGTTCCACCCTGGCGACCATCGTGCCACCATCCGCCACGCCCTCACCCGGAGCAAGCAGCAGCAGGACGTCGCCCACAAGACCAAGAGGGAGGCCGCCCTGCCGCACATCGACCGCCGGCGCCATCGCGTCCTCTCCCGCAGCGCCGAGTACAAGACGTCCGGCTGGCTGACCACCCTCCCGTCGACAGACAACAACACTGGTCTTGATGCTGCGGAGTTTCGAGATGCCCTCAACATGCGTTACGGCCGTCACCCCCCCGGCCTCGCTGCACGCTGCGACCACTGCAACCAGCCCCTCACCGTCGACCATGCGCTGTGCTGCAAGCGGTACGGCCTGGTGATTCGTCGCCACGACGAGCTGCGGGACACTTTTGCCGAGCTGATTGGGATGGCGTGGGGGGACGCTGGTGTGCGTCGGGAGGTGGTGTTGAAGGAGGGAGAGGAGGGGGAGGGTGGGGTCAGGGCGGACATCGTCGCTCGGGGCGTGTGGGAGCGGCAGGCGGCTGCGTCGTTTGACATCTGTATTACGGATCCTGACGCAACGTCTTACGCTTCCAAGAACCGATCGACCAAGTCCATCCTGAAGCAGCACGAGACCGCCAAGAAGAAGAAATACCGCTCGGCCGTCTGCGACTCCCGCGTGACCTTCTGCCCTCTGGTGGTGACGTGTGACGGTGTGTGGGGACACGATGCCAACGTGTTCATCGCCCACATGGCTCATGCGCTGTTGGAGAAGGAGGGGTGGAAGGGTCGGGGGTTCAGTCATGTGTCTGGATGGATTCGCTCTCGCTTGTCTATCGCCCTCGCGCGTGCGACTAGCTTCTGTCTGCGTGGGGGAGGGAGGGGAGGGTTTGCGGGACTGGGGTGTGCTGATGGGGCGGGGATTGATCCCTCCTCCCCTTGAGCCTGTTTGAGTCTGCGTGCTGATGGGACTGTATTTGTATGAGTATCACGGACACACAGACGAGTGTTACGGTTAATGACAGTTTCCCCCCCAACAGACAGACAGACAGAGAGGCAATGAATGGATGATTGATTGATTGATTGTCTCTGTGTGTCTGTCTCTTCTGAGTGCAGGAGGTCTGGATGAATCGTGGGATGGAGGCCGACAGCAACAGCGACGATGATGACAAGGGTGTGCTCACCACCATCAGCAGCCATGACAACCACCTACCGGCAAACCCATCGCACACCGCGGACATAGACACACCCAAGAAGCGCGGCCGCCCGCCCAAGAGTGTCGCCGGCCGCAGCAACCAGCAGCAGCAGCAGCACAACAAGATGACAACGGTGCAGGAGTTCTTGTCGTCGCTGCCCGAGGCTCAAGTCCAGACAGCCATCGCCAACCTCTTCGAGCAAGACACCGAGGGCGAGGTCAGCTGACACACACTGACACACTCATGTGCACATGGAGACGCGGGAAGGGCTCACACGAGAGTGTGTGTGGTCATGGTGTGATGTGTGTGTCATCAGGTGCCGGCGTACCAGTCTGGCTCGACGTTGGAGTTGGGGCGAGCGGAGCTCGGCGTGCTCAAGTTCATAGCAAACAGATCGCTGCTGGCGCCTGGTATTTCATATACACCACACAGACAGAGGGGCACATTGGTTGAATGTGTGTGTGTGTGTGTGTGTGTGTGTGCAGAGTGTACGAAGGTGACGTGGCCACTCAAGAAGGAAAAGATCGCATCGTGTGCGGCACAACTGTACGCAACCACCGACGCACACGCACACACAACACACACAGACAGACAGACATACACGTGCAACGCCACCCACTCACTGCCCCCCTCTCCCCGTCTGTTGTCTCTGTGTGTGTGCAGGGGGCTGTGGGTGGTCGCCTGTCGTCTGAGTGAGATGTACTTGTCCAACACAGCCGACTGGCTAGTCAACGCAGCACGCACCTACTACAAGCAGAGGCGCCGCACCTCTGACAGCATCAACAGCTGTGGGGAGGGAGGGGAGGGAGAGGGAGAGGTGCAGCCACAGCCACACGCCATGCACGACCCGAGCCGAACCCAGTTCCTTCGCAAGCAGGCCCAACAGCTGATGGTGGAGATCGGGCAGCGCGAGGCAGCCATGCGTCAGATGGGCGCCGTGTCGGCCAGTGCCGTTCATGACCTGCTCGCGCTGTCATCCCACCTCCTGCACGACTACAACGACGTCCTGCTGCCTGTCGAACGGGACCATCTGGATTTCTTCGTCAGTGCCTTCAGCCAGTCGAGCAGCCACGCCGCCGCGTCATGCCCGCCCAACCACACACACCACCAGACACACACACCTGCCCCCTGTGCACATGACACCACCACCACCACCAACAGCGGCACCAACAGGAGCAGAAATGGCGAGGCGGGCAAGCAGGGCGGCTACAGAGGCGCACCTCAAGGCTTTCCGTACCACGTGAGTCTGTCAGTCAGTCACGCACAAACACAGACAGACAGCTCATGTGTGTGTGACTGTATGTGTGTGTGCAGGTGTATGAGCAGTGTGTGATCGCTTAGTCAGCCCACATAAGACACACCACAAAGACATGTATTATCGCCGTGTACATGTGTGTGTGTGTGTGTGTGTGTGTCAGCATGAAGGTCACCGTGATGGGCGCCAGGCTGCCTGACCTCAACACGCCGCCCGGCCTGGACGTCGTTTGGCATCTGCAGGTGGCCGCAGAGGACTGGGTCCACGAAACGATCCAACACGCCAGGAACGAGGTGCGTGTAATCCTGTCGACCCAACCACGCCACACCGACACAGGGAGAGAATGGTGTGTGGCGTGTGTGTGTATCTGTCAGCACATCAACGTCTTCGACCATGTGAGGCTGTCGCTCCGAGCGAGGCAAGACGAGGCGCGGCGGCGATGCGGGATCAGACCGACACCTCACCCCAGCGACAGCCAGCCTTGTCCACCAGCCATGACCTCGCTGCTGGACGTGTGCGCGTCGTGCATCAGCCGCACACACACGCGAGTAGCCACAGTAGAGAGACGGATGACTGACACACTGACTCTGATGCTGACTACCGACTGACGTGTCTGTGCCTCCGTGTGAGTGATGGATGGATGGATGGGTGAATGGATGGAAGGGGAGATATTGGAGTGTGTTGTGTGAAGACCGAATCCGGATATTGAATGCTATCATAATCCGATGGAGATGGATGGATGGAGAATCGGAAGAGACCGAGAAGCGCTGTATTTACAAGACATACACATGAACTCATGCAGCCATGCATGCCGTCACAGCTGCAAGTGAGTCAGCAACACCCACATGCATCGATCTATTCTATCTATGTGTGCAGCCGCCCGTACTGCTCGACTGTCTCCCTCATGATCCGCCTAAGCGCCGCATACAGCTCCTTCTCCACCTCTGCATGCAACCTCTCCCTCTCAGCCTCCAACTCGCTGTCACCATCAGCAGGCTCACTCGATTTCCCGCTGGCTGCCTCCTCCTTGTCCGCCGACGCACTGCCGCCCATGGAGGGTCTTCCATCATCAGCAACAGCACCTGCTGCCGGCTGCCGTTGTGTCGCATTCGCCGTGTCCTCTAGATCTGTCCGCGCTTGCTTCACGAGCTTCTGTGAGCCGGCGATGGCATGCGGATCTTGCTGTGTGTGTGGGGCGGTTGGGGCTTCCAGCTGTAGTTGGTCTGCTGTGGTGGTAGTGGTTGTGTCGATGGTGAGGGTGTTGAACGTTTTGAGTGAGGGGATGGCCTCAGCGATCCGCGAGAGGAGGAGGGAGGGGGAGGGCAGGCTGTCCACCAGTGGATTGTTGCTGATGCGCAGGTCTGTGACACCTGCAACCAGCCATTGAAAGAAAGCGCAAGAGATGGAATTCTGAGGTCATCCATCCATCCATATGTGTGTGGAGTACGGTGTGATGCCATTGATGGGTGTACTGTACCTTTGAGCTTCTGTAGTGGCCTGAGCTGGTCGACGGTGTGGATCTTGTTGTACGCGAATGACAGCGACGAGAGGAACTCGAATGACATCAAACCGCCTAGACTCGATTCAGTGCACACCTGCAGTTGACATGCATTGATTGCAACCGACCATGGTGGATTGCAATGCATTCAGGTGCTATCTCTGTTGACTGACTGACGTGCTCTATTTGTATGTAGTTGAAGCTGATGCATCGGACGGTCCCCTGGTACTCGCGCTTGTTCAACGCATCAAGCGCCCTGACCGAAGCGACACACATGGATGGGATGGGCAACACACGTACGGATGGCCGGCACATGGTTGATGAATTCATTGCTGTGTTCACTCACTCACCTCCCGTAGACCAGCAAATTCGACGCGTCTTCCCGCCTCACGTACCCATACCTACACCACAGCGGTACTTACAGAGGACATGGAGAGAGATTCAGCTATGCAGCCCTGCCCTACCTCGTGTGGGGCGTCTTGCCTGCCGCCTCCGCCTGATGCCACATGGTCCTGATCTCACTCAACACTTCATGCCTGTTGATTCCACAACACAACACAACACAACACACAAGACAGCCGCAGATCCACTGGCTGGCCCATACATGGCAGATCCACTGGCTGGCCATCCATGTATGGGCGCTTCACCCAAGTGTCCTCCCCTACCGATTTGGCGATCTCGTTATTGCTCCGTCATCTATTGAGCCCTCCCTTCGCAGCACAGGCGCGGCGGCAGACGTCGGCCTCCCAGTGGCACATGGCGTGCTCGACCTACGCACACGAGAGGTGGATGTGAACAGGGCCGAGAGGGGCAGCGGGGGCTTGGGGCCAAGCGTAGGCCTCTTGGCACTCACAGCCTCCCTCTCCCCAGCATCGGCAGCCAACGCGGCTCGGCCGCCTTCACTTCTCTCCACCCTCCTGCCGTCCAGCACCTTAATGTGAGGATACCTGTCGATGACCTCGCCTCTGTATCTGCTCTGAGAGACCCCCTCCTGCAGCGGGTTGCCTTCCAGTGACAGCTCGGTGAGGCACACCAGCAGCGCGACACCCGAAAAGGCGTCGAAGGTCGCCAGGCTGTTGCTGGCGAGGTTGAGGCGCTCGAGGGAGGGGAAGGCCAGCTGGGAAGCATGCGATGCGCCGCTGGTGGCGGCCACGTGTGCGATGTGATTTCTCTTCAGGTTGAGGTCGAGCAGTGACGGGAAGCGGGCAAGTGGGGGGGTCGTGAGGGCGACGGTGCCCTTGACCTGGTTGGATGAAAGGTTCAGCACCTCAAGTGAGTCAAGGGGTGGGATGGCCTCCAGCGACTCGATGCTGCGAACACACAATGTGAGGCGGGAAAGAGGGGTGGATTGGATGGACACATCAATCACATGTGGAGGTTTATGTGATTGATGTACCTACAGGTTAGCGTGTAGGTCGATGTTCTTAAGTCGCTTCAGCTTCGTCAGCCCCTCTTCGTTGGGCCGAATAAGTGTCCGCAGCCGGTTCCTGCCCACCATGAGCGTCTTGAGGTTTGTCAAAGACTCGACCCCCGACACATCCGTCAACTGCGAAGGAAAAGGGCGAAAGGTGTGCGAACGAACAATACCCGTGTGCGTGATGCGTGTGCGTGCGTCTGCAGGTACCTACCTGATTGTCGTAGAGGTCGAGGAATACGAGTGAGGGAAGGGGTGAGATGCTGAGTGGCGCCACAGAGGTGATGGCGTTGTGCTGCAGCTGCAGGCATATCTCATCTCCCGTCAACCGTCATGTAACCGTTGCTGAATTGGCTTACATTCAGCAACCGAAGCCGCTCCTCACTCTGGATCTCAGGACACACCTGCAGGTCACGGTGAGAGAGCTGCACCAAACACACACACACACACACGCAGAACGACACAGATTGTCAAACGAAACCAGCATTCATCCATCTCACCGTGAGATTCTCCGGGGTTTTGCTTCTCTCATCATCACCTCTGCGAAACGATGGAAGCACCGCCTCCCCCTCGCCAGCCTCCTTTGTCGGCTGTGAGCTGCGATGTGTGGCGGGGCCACCGGCCGAAGGCGACGGCTGCTCGTGGATGGCCTGCGCATGCCCCTCGAGCGAGAACTGGGCCTGCACAGTGGGGCGGTTGGTGCTGGAACGAGCTGGGGAGCCCAGAGGGGATGCGCTGGCTTGGGAAGGGCTGCTCTGTAATGCTGGCGTCAGAGATCTGGCAGGCCCGGCGGATTGAGGCCTCGACATCATGACGTCATGCTGCTGGCGACTGCCGGTTCTGAGCTCGCAGGCCCCCAGTCTCAAGGGCTGCCCCCATACTATGGCCGTGACATAATCAAGTGACTCACAAGTGAGTGAAGGTAAAGCGGGGCTCGGTGACTTTGCATGTTCCTGGGATCGTCATGCGTCTGAGCCAACAGTACGAGGCTTCACGCAAGACCGCGCGTGAAGGTAAGCAGCGGGTGCCATGCAGGCGTCCATCCAGCTGTGTGTCTTGCAATGTTGTCTTGTTGTTGCAGCGTATGCCCGTCAGTTCCACGCTAGCGGCATCTTCTCGGCCAAGGAGGCGGCTCCGCCCGCCTCGGGCCGGAAGTCCATGCCGCAAGGTGTGCCCCGAGAGAAGAAGACAGCCCAGCCACTGCTGCACGAATGCATGTATGGTAACATTGGTGTGCAGGTCGGCGGCGGGACCAGACGAGCCACGAGATGTTCGGCAGTGTGGAGCCGACGGACATGCCTCGGGCGTCGCTCCAGAGACAGCTGTCGACCTTCGTCCCGAGAGAGGACTTCCGCACCGCTCGGGAGCGCTGCATTGAATTCAACTCCTCCTCGCCCAACATCATCAGGTGCATCTCGCGTGGATTTCACCTGCATGACATTCATTGTCGGGTGCTGTATGTATGTGGTCTGTCTGTCAGCTCCGACTATCCCACTGGGAAGAGCCCCATGCCCACGGGCGGCAAGCTCACCCACCTGCTGCCCCTCTCCGCCGAGACGGCCGAGGACGTGTTCGCCGAGAACTTCGGACAGCGGGCCGCTGTAGACCCCCTGGCGTCGTACCGTGCCAAGCAGTACATGGGGGAGCAGCTGTCGTCCGCCTCGTCCAACTGGATGACCCATCGCAATGCCACCAGCAATGAGGGGCCGCAGTACTCGCCCAGGGACAAGGCGAGGCTGCAGAATGACAGCGAACTGTTCGGCCTCTCCCCGTCCCCTGTGCCGCAGAAAGACACGGTGGGTGGGTGGCATGAACGTGAAGAGCGAGCAGAGATCTCATTGATTGATTGCCCTCTGTGTGTGTGTTCAGAAGGCCGAAGCTGCTGAGAAGGAGGCCACGCAGCGCCGCCGCTCAAACCCATACTTCAGCGACCTCTTCGGTGTCGCCTCGCCTCCCTCACTCAAGGAAACTGTAGGAATGGCACTGACTCATAGAGGGAGGAAGAGACAGACATGCATGAGCTTCGGGGGTTGCTGGTGTGCGTGCGTGTATCTCTTGCAGGGCATGTTTGGTGACCAAGCAATGGTGGACACAATGAAGGCCGACAAGCAGGTGACCATCTACAACGACTGGATGGACTCGCGGACCGAAATTGCTAGGTAGGGTGGGCAAAGGAATACACCAAGAATCAATCCCGCCCACGTGGCTCGCTCGTCTTTGGTGCTTTCTTTTCTCAGGCGGCTTGGCACACCTCAGCCCGAGACCGCTGGCACGGCGAGACAGAGGAAGATGGACGAGACATATGGCCACCGGGTGCCTCTCTTTTCGGAGTCCATGCCCCCACCTAAGGACGCAACAGTCAGTGACGGCAGCCCAGCCACACACGCATTCTTGCTGATGTCGTTCGTTTGTGGGTTTCAATGAATATATTTGTCCAGGTGTCTAAGGTGACGGGAGAGACCAGGGCTATGCCGAGGATCGACCTCAACGCAACCGCAAAGGAGAAACATCAAACATTCCTTCAGGTGGGTGCGACACGCACTGGTGGAGAGCGGTCGAAATGGATGTGCTGAATGCATTTGCCCATCCATCCATCCATCCATCAGTCGACGATGTTGGGCAAGGAGTTCTACGACACGGCGTCGAAGGTTGGGACGTTCGAGGTGGTCAATCTGAACCTGATGGGGCTCAAACCTGACACGACAGAGGAAGACATCAAACAACTCACCAGGAGGTCAGTCAGTCATTGAGGCAAAGTCTCTCTCTACCTGTCACGTCACGTGTCCACGTGTGCGATTCCCTCGTTGTGTGTGATCATATGATGTGTGGGTGCAGCTGTGGCGTGCACACCGTCAAGATAATCACGGTACGTCCCTGCTGTGTCAGTCAGTTATGTGTCTTTGTGCGTCAATGACATTGTTCGTGTCTCTTTTCGTGCAGGACACTGACCCGGTCAACGGCCGATCCAAAGGCCGTGCGCGCGTCGTCATTCGGTGCCCACTCAGCACACAAAAGGGGCTCGGCCATGTCCAGTGTGTGTGTCTTGTGTTGGTGCGATGCGATGCGATGCGAGTGTGTGTGCAGAGAGGTGGCTGGCGACACAGGGTTGGATAAGCTGACGAATGCGCTGCAGTCAATGGGCATCGCCGTCAGAGAAGTAGCGGATGTCTGATGACGACGACACGACACGATAGGCACACCACACCCTGCGTGCTGTGCCTGACTGCTTATGACTGACACACGGACGGACGGATGTACGGATGGATGGATGGATCCATGCGATGAATGCGGAACTAACTAAGTGGAAGGGTCATCGATTCATTCACTCAATGAATGCCGCAAGTAACAAAGAAGCGAAGGTTAGGTTATGCTATGTACTGTCAGTCAGGTGTGGAGTATTCCATTGAGGTGAGGATAGCATCGACACGCAGGCAGGCAGGCAGGCAGGCAGGCATGGACACGTGTCTGTCACGTCACATATGGTATGGTCGGTTGTTTGGTTGGTCATGTCACAAATGCACACCCTCGTGCACACACATGTCACATGATGCATCCTATGCTATGCTGAACAGCCCTTGCAGGTTCACATGTATGCAGCCCAGCCACCGCACCGTAGAGGACCCACTGTGCCACACACACCGTACGAGTCAGGCAGGCAGGCAGGCAGGCAGACCACAAGCGCCGCATAAACTTCGCCATGGCCCTCAGACAGACAGACAGACAGCGCACGACACACAACACAGGCAGGGCAGCAGCCGTCACACACATGAACCAACCGAGCTATATATATATCACAATCAATAAGAATAACAATCGATCGCATCAGACATACGCCAAAAAGACACACAAACCCGAGGAAGGGAGAGAGAGATGGGCCCACATAGATAGGATAGATAGGATAGATAAGATGTGTGTGTGTGTGTGTCTATGTCATGAAGAATACATGTGTGTGCATCTGATATGATGTGTGGATGACAAAGCCCACTCAAACCATCCATCCATCCGACCCCTGCGCCCTCCCTCCCCCTCCCCCTCCCTCCTGTTGCTAAGCTACCTTTACAATCTCTCTAATTGACTGACAAGGACCAAGAAACGCACACACATAACAACAGTAAGACAGAGAAAGGGGAGGGAGGGGATGGGGTATCTATCCATCTAGTTTGGTGCGAGGAAGGTGAAAGGTGGGGATGGGGAGGAGGAGACAGGCAAGAAAGCGACACCTCACTGCCTGCCTGACCGACCGATGGCTGCACGCACGCATCAGACAGACAGCTCCAGAAGAAACACTTTCCTGGGCAATCCATCCAACACGCGCTCGCTTCGCCAGCAGGCCAGCCAGTGACAGTGACAGGCAGGGCAGACAGGCAGGCAGGCAGGCAGGCACAGGTCGGGAGGGAGGGAGCTAGGGGGGAGGGAGAGAGGTAGGGAGGAAAAAAGGGCGTCTGTGTCCCTCCACATGCAGGTCTGCATGCGGCCCGCCCATCGGGTGGCCATCTATCCGTCACCCACCCGTGCCGTGTGTGGGCTCATCACATCTGTGCGGCGTTGGGGTTGAATTTGGGGTTGGTCTGGGGGGCGGCGGTGGCGGGGTCCTCATCGGTCGTCATCTGCTGCTTCACCTCCGCCATGACCTCGTAGCGCAGAGCCTTGCGCAAGTGACGCACAATCCAAACCCTACCACAGACAGACCACAAAGGAGACGAGACGGACGGTCGAGCCGCCGACACTTTATTTGAGGCAGGCAGGTGTGTAAGTACCTGTAGATGAAGAAGAGTGACACGACGACGATGGAAGCGCCGATGATGGAGACGAAGACGATCCACCAGGGGACGCCCTTCTCCTGCTCAAGCTTGTGCACCTTCTTCTCGAACTCGATCTTGCTCGGATGGAGCAGCGTGTCGCACTCCTGACAGACAGATATCGACATACATACGCAGGGAGAGGGCGGCCGTTGGTGCGCTAGCTGGTGTCTCGTCTCATTGGTTGATGTGTGGACTTGTGTACCTTTGGTCGTTTTTCGAACCCTGAGCAGACGGCTCGTGTGATGACCTCCGAGTCGAGGGGCCCGCTGTACCGCCAGTCGTTGATGCGCATCGCCAGGGGGCTCCACGCGTGGTTGAGGCGCTCCCTTTCCAATATCGACTCCTTGTCCTCCTGCGCACACAAACCGACACAGAGGCAGGTGGGGTGGTTGCGGTGCGTGTGGGTGCTGCGTTCTGACGTACGGTGAGGCATTTGTTGATCTGCTTCATGTCTGCGCCGAGCTTCTTCATGAGGGCTAGGGAGCACTCCTCGCCGAAGGCCTTGTTGCCCTTGCCATCCATCGGACACCTGCGCACCGCACACACGATTGACAGTATTCCCTGCCCTCCCCTCGTTCCTCCCTCCCTCGATGCCCGTGTTGTGCGTGTGGTGTCGTACGCCTTGGGTAGCTGGTCGACGTAGTTCCACCAGATCGCCGAGTAGTCGCCGCTCTGCTCCACATTGTGGTCAACAATCGCTGTCTTCTCCCACAGACACAATTGACTGCACACACACACCACACACACCACCGGTCAGTCGTAACTCTACCGTGCCCACGCATCCATCCATCCATCCATTTATCCATCCATTTATCCATCCATCCATCCACCTCTGTTCGCTCACCGGACGGTTTCCTCGACCACGTCTTTGCCCGTGGTTGAGCCGGCCATGTCGGGGTCCAGGGCGCAGTAGGTGGCGTCGTCGTCTATGCACAAGTCCTTGTAGTCCCGCGGGAGGCTGAAGATCCAGTAGTGCGGACGGAAATCAAGCTGCAAGGTGGTAAGGTGAGCAGCAACCACAGAACGAACACCATACATACACACACACCACACAAGCACGAGAGAGAATGGAGAACGAGACGAGGAAGGGGAGAAGGGGAGAAGGAGTCGCCTTTGTCCTGACCTTGTGCTTGAGCGTCTTGGCGTAGTGGGAGTACTCCTGCAGGAATTCGATGCTCTTCTCCACCGCTGGGGTGATCCAGAAGTCCATCGACACCGTCGTCTCCTGCAGCGCAGCACCAGAGAAGACACAGACGAGAAGCCAATCCGTCGCCTGGTCTGGTCTCCGTCAAGACCTCCGCATATATGTGGGTCAGGTCTGCACCCACCCACCTTTGGCACGTCCCAGGCCAGCTCGATGATGACGTTGTTTTCGTTCTTCTGGAGCTCCTCGATCAGCAGGGACCCCTCCTTGTCACTGATCAGGATGGACGGCACCTTGACGTTGTCGCCCCAGCCGTCATCAGCCATGATGACTCGCTGGATCTCTGACGGTGTCCTGTTGGACCCCTCGGTGTCCACCACTATCACCGCCATGGCCTCCTTTTTCTCAGCGATGCGAATCTTTGTCACGAAGTTGCAGTTCCCTGATATACGAAGGAACGAAACAAACAAACAAACGGTTAGAATGGCTGTGACGCTCTCTGCCCTTCGCCTCTCTGTCGCTGCCCTCCGCCTGTCTGCCTGTGGCTGCGGTTGGGGTGCCATATTGTGTGTGTTGTACCTCTCCTGACGACGATGATGTTGGGCAGCTTTCTTTCCTTTTCGCCGAGGGGGTCCGGGATGTCATAGTCGTCCTCGCGGCACCATTGGTCGCCCTTGGTCGGGCCGTACACCAAGCGGCCGGTTATCCGCTCGCCATAATACTGCCACACACACACGACCAGCAGCCACCATACTCACCCCAGCCGTCCCTTAGGCCTTCCCTCCCGCGGCGCCGCGCCCTGCCTCTGTGTGTGTGTGTGTGTTGTTTGTTGTGTGGGTATACCGGTGTGCCAAAGGCGGCAGTTGAGCCGTCGATCTCGGCCCTGTGGAACTTCTGGGAGAGGCTCTTTGGCTCGAGCACCTTGATTTGAGCCACTGTGCTGACGACGTACGCAAGGCAGACGCACACCGCCAGCGGCTTCCTGAGGACCATCCTGTGTGATTCTGATGTGACAAGAGGCCCCCTGTGCGGCTGCGATGTGCGTGCGATCCTTGCGTCTGACAGCGCCCTTCTCCCTGTCACTTCGGAGGGACGTTGCGGCTCCCGATTTTTTGGCCGTTAGACTCCGAATTTACACGCGTACACGGAAAAGGAGGCTCGTCGGAGGGTACTCTCCCCCTGCCTCTCCCTCTCTTTGTGTGTGTGTGTGTGTGTGTGTGTGTGTGCAGAGGGCCTTCACACAGCAAAGAGAGGAGGCGTCCTCAGGTCTTGTCAATGACCCGAACGTCGGGCTCCTCATCACGGTGCCTGCTCATCCTGATCTACTTCCTCTGCGCCCGAAGCCCCCGCTGACCTCCCCCGAAGCCTTCTCTTCTGCGGGTTGGTTGGCTCAGTTCAGCTCAGCGCTCAGCCAGTAGGTACCCAGCCAGCAGAGATTGTTGTTTATTGATTGAGGATGGGCAACGTGCAAAGCAGTGCAGGAGCGGCGACAGGGATTGGCCGTCACATCGCGGCCAGTGCCTGGACTTCATCAATCGTGCAGACGATGCGTCAGACGGCCTGCACAGCTTGCGCGACATCGGCTGCCTCCGCACAGCGGCTTGTTTCTCGCACATGTGGACTTCCCCCCGGCTGTGCTCAGCAGGCGGCTCTCTCGGTCCCTCTCTCAGACGCTGCTGGACGACGACACGCCGCTCGAGGCCGAGGTGTCGCTCGGCCACCACTTGGAAGGAGCCGAGGTGCTCAAGTGCCTGTGGCTGGTGGAGCTCCAGCGATGGGACGAGGTGGCAGACGCCATGCGACTGGCCAGCCAGTGCGGCTTCTGCGATCTGCCCGCCATCATCACGCGCGAAGACCTCCAGAGGCATACGTACGGACATACATACGCTCCCTGGCTGTTTTTGCAAGCCTAGACAGATGTGTGTGTCGATGTGCGTAGTATTAATGTCATCTATGCAGTGTGGATATTCTCTCTCTCTCTCTCTCTGTGCGTATGGCTCCCTCCCGTGCCTACACATACACAGACAGCTGGCCGCGCCGGCGATGTCTGTGTGTGTGTGTGTGTGTGCGTATGAGGTGCGTGTGGCTTAGTAGTGCACATCACCGCATCCGTGACAGAGCGACAGAGAGATCAACAGAGGCTACCAACATCTATCCATCTGGACAAACGCGTGCACATGGGTGTGGATGGACGGATGGATGAGATCAATCAATGAATATCTGTGTGTGTGAGCGGAGTCTTCTTGGCCAACCAGATAGATCATCCGATCAGCCTCCGTGCATTCACCACATTTGCCGGCCCTCGTTTCCGAATCACATCCATATTGAGCAATAGTGTTTTAAGTTAGTTGACACACAACTGTCCACACCACACACACACACACATGCATGCATTCCTTCTCACACAAATAATGCTAAGGATGGCCGGCCGGCACCCAGCCAGCCAGCCAGCCAGGAGAGAGCAAACTCCCTCACACTCTTGAACACACACACACGCACGCACGCCGTGGACAGCTGGGTGGGTGGATGGATGGATGGGTGAATGAATGTCGCAAAAAGACGCGAGTCCTGGCCGATAGATAGGCATCATGCAGACGGTCACGGACACCACACCACACCCTGATGTAGGAAGGTAGGCAGGAGCCAGCCAGCCAGACAGCCAAGTAGAGAGAGCGAGGCAAGAGGAGGTAAGCAGGCAGGCAGGCCGGTGCACCAGCCAGATCCAATTTCGAAATCCAGGTAGAGGCACCAACACCGGCCATGGCGGGAAATGAACGGCGTCGCTGCAAACAAACACCGTGACTCTCGGCCGGATTGTGTCCTTCCCTGGCGACCCCCCACGTGCCTCCCGATCAACCGTCTCAACCAGAGGGATCGCCCTGAGCTGGTGATCACCCTCTGGTGGTGACGGCTGCATCGGAGTGGCGTACAGGGCCGCAGTGGCAGACACAACCCGGCCCCCGTCACACACATACCAACCGTGGGCAGCCCTTCAGCCAGCCAGCTGTACAGCCCACCAGAAAGACATGTCACCTGCCCCGCCCCCAGAAAGATGGACAGCGAGTTAAATAACAACGCACTCGGATGGATGGATGGGTGGACGGACGCCATGAGTGAGTGCATCGGAAGGCTCACTCACCCCACCCAGGAGCCCCCTCCCCTTGTCAGTCAACCAACACAGAGGCATTCATTCCATTCATGTGTGTGTGTATGTATTTACAGAACAAAGAGGGAGGGAGGAAGGGAGGAACGAATATATGAGGGAGGGGAATGAGGAGTGAATTGCCATGCCCATGCACACCCCATCCCCCCTTGCCCCCCCCCCCACCCGTCAGCGAGTCAGTCAGTCAGTCAGTCGGGAAGTCAGTGGAAGACAGTTGGTTGCATTGCACGCAATAAATAAAGGCATCCGTTCGTTAGGCAGCAGGCAGCAAAGAAACCAACCACAGCCACCATCCACCCA